TCTTACCAGCATGACGGTAGGATGAGCACTCAGTAAATAGATGCTGAGTGAATGAACGTCATTTGGGAAAACTGGGTAAGCAAGGGCTTTGTTACATTCAAGCTCGAATCGACCCTTCGGCTTCTGCCGGCAAGCAAGGAGCGCTTTTACTGCAGGAGTAAAACCGAGAGCGTCTCCTTTCTTGGAATGCAGCAAGAAGAACATGGAATTGGGGCATCCCCAGGGTGTGTCCTGTGCAACATGAGCTGGGCACACTGGCCTCTTTCGCTCCTGGCTGGGTCATCATGGTGGGCATGACTGGGGGCGGTGGATGGTGGGTTTGCAGTGTCGTTCAGGCTGTGGGTGGGGTGACTGGGTGGCATAGATTCAGGATCCACGTCCCCTAGTGTTTTCTGAACTGCAGAGCCTTGGGTGAAACGGAGAGTAGAACCCCTGATGGGAGCCGAGAGGCATGGTCCATTCTTGGCCTTTTGTTGTTCGCGCAGGAGATGGGGGCAGTCCTTCAGGCACCGATTCCCAACACACACCAAAGGAGCCTGTTCACCGTGTGATGCCGTGTGGTGGTCCAGGATGAGTGCCCTGTCAGATGAAGAGGGTGTTGGCTCTGACTGCAGCCGGCAGCCTCGGCTGCCCCTTAAGCCCCAGCCCTCGATGGGCCCATCGCTGTGCGCTCTCCGGGGACGTCCCGAGCTGTGGTGTTGGTGTCTCTCACCCGTGTCCCCCACTTAGGGACAAGATCGGTTTTCAGATCTCTGATGGCTGTGCATGTAGCCTATATGCCGTGGGTGCTGCTGATGAGCAGTCCTGGCCACCATGTGACCCAACCCAGCCCTGCCCCCGGGGAGACCAGAGCAGATGGAGAACACTTTTAGGGGAGGAAGGCCTTACATAAACAAAAGGGGAAAGAATAATTAACAATAGCACTAGTAACTCCTTTTTCGTTCCTGGGTTGGATGACCTTGGTTTAAAGGAGTTTCCAGGTGGTTGGATTCAGCTGACTCCCTTTTCAGCCTTTTCCTGTCCCCCTGGCGCGTCCCTCTGCCAGCAACCACTGCCACTGAGTCGATTTCAACTCAAGCCACCGTCCGTAGGGCTCCCAAGATGTTAACTTTCTGGAAGCAGACAGCCTTGCTTTCTCCTCAGGAGCAGATGGTGGGATTGAACCCCGACCTTGT